AATGTGTGTTTTTTAGCCAGCACGGCGCAAGGATTTCCCTTAGCGTACGAAACAAGCCCGTACCTAGGGCCGCTGCAGCCCGGCGGAGCTGCGCCTCTCGCTCGCGCGGTGCCCGCGCCAGCTACCCCCGGGGATGGACGAGGCGCGCGCACACCGAGCTCCAAGGGCAGGCCTTTCGGGGCTTCCACCCACCTTCTTGGCTGCGGGGCCCCCGGGGGGCACAGGAACTGCCTGCCCGAGACAGAGCACCGACTCGCAGGTCAGCTTGTTAAAATGGCTCACCCGAGCCTGCAGCGTGAGGCGAAAAACGCTAAAACCTGTGCCTGTGGTTGGTCTTAGAGATTTTTTGGTTTTGCTTACGATTTACACGGCAAAATAGCTAAAAAGAGAGAGCTGGGTGACCATTTTTGCTACAGGACTTCAAAGGCTGGCTAACCTCCTTGCACGAAGACGCAACATTGATGATTTTTAACCTGCTCAGCTCCACCTTTTTGAAGCTCTTCAGAGACACGAAGCAGACTATGGCAAACACTCGCTCCTCAGGTAAGCTCTCATCCCCCGCCGTGACAGACCTCAGCCACACTACAGAACGGATCCCCGCAGGGAAGGTCAGAATCTTTACGGAGCACTCGGCACTAACCGCCTATTAAACTACGTTTTCTTACACTTCCCGACTGCATTCTTAACTTTTGGTGGCGTTTCCAGATTATATGCTATTTTTCCCCCCGAGTTAATTCGGGATCTGTGCTTAAATAAATATTACCATAGGAAATATTATTTATCAATTTAAAAATGTCCAAAACATTATTGATTTCTTAAGCTCAGAAAACTAAAATGGAAGAACTCCAGAGACAGCAGGAACACAGTGAACAGAGCTGATGGTTTTACATTTGGGGAGAAGAAACACATGGAGGAAGAAAGCTGGTGGAAGCAACTTAAAATTTGCATTAAAAAAAAATCCCACATGCCTAAGAGTTTCTGGGCTTTCATTCCTTGTGCAACATGAGAGCAAATACATATGGTTGGATTACTTCTACGCATTAAACAATGGCAAATGCAGTGAAGGTTTGCAATTTATTAATAGGTATGACAGTATAAGCAATGGAAAACTTCCACAAAAAATGCTTGCAGCTGAAATAATCATTGTAATAGAAACATTCAAGGTTGTTCTTGACCTAAAAAAACCCCCTCCGCTTTCTGAGACAAAACTATGCAAATTAAGTTTGTATACAGTGTCAAACAGCCTACTTCACATCACTTATATTGCAGTACATATAGTGTTACACATTTAGAATTTTTTTTTAATAAGGAACTCCAGCAAAATAATAATGAAACCTTCAGAATATAATTGAGATAGGGCTGAATCTTCCCCCTTTAATCATATTCAGTGACTAAGAAGAAAAACCCCTTAACTGGCAAATACAGAAAAAGCAAACACGTATCACCGTTAAACTAGTTATTTGATCTCACATTGATATACAACTGGTCTCTTCTTGGAGTATAATTCAGATACTGCAGAAAGTATAAACACGCTCCTCTAGAAATAAAACCCTCTCCTTTTACCCTTAACGAGTCATAGCAAAAAACATATTTCATCACTTTACCATAACTACCACAGTTGGTTCCCTTTAAATGCTAGAACATACAGTGAATTTTTTTTTTGTCCAGTTCCAATGGATTTATGTTGAGATTAATCTATGGCTTGATCTACAACTCAAACACACTAGCTGTCAGTCAAAAGTAATTCAAATTTTTCCATACAATGGACAGTTTTTAACCTTTCTGTCTTGTACTAATGATAACTGCTGCTTTTTTCCTCCTCTCCGTCTCTGAACAGGCTGCTGCTCTAAGCTTTCATACGTTGACATATTCCACTAAGACCCAAACCGCTGACAACACGCTCCTACATAAGCATCCAAGAATGACTACTTAAAATGACTACCTCACTTTCTATTTTATTAAATAAAGACGGCATGCAAGAGCAATAAAATCATCACAGAGGTTAACAAGGCAAAAAGATATTCTGACGTCCATGATATAGCATGTATTTACAAAGGATCGTTTTAATTTTATCTTCCACCACCAAGCAAATCTGTGACTGATAAAGACATTTATTCAGATCTAGCAAGATGCACAGACTTGTTAGCAGAGATGAAAAAGTGGCTGATCACGTCCTTCGCTCACTCATCCCAGAGGGCATTCAGCCAAGCATATATCGGAAAAAATTGCCCGTACTATCCTCTTAATACAATAATAAATAAGGCTGCCAGAGAGAGAAATACAAAGCCGTACAGAGAAAAGCATCGCTTTTAAGCCTTCCCCTACCTTCTCCGTGATATTTACAAACCGCAGGCAGTGCTGCCGGGGCGTCTCACCGGGGTGGCTGCCGAGAGGTCTCATGTGGCGTTCCCAGCTTCCCACCGCCTCCCTCTGCCTGGGTTTTAGGCATTCCCGAGAAAACCCAGCCTGACATGCACAGAATGAATCCTGCTCAAGTTGGAAGCATGTGATAACTAGGCTTTGGGTTGAAACAGGAAACCCCAGCACCCAATTAATCCCAGAGATTTTCACAAGCCCCATCTTACCGTTTTGCGGTTGCCCAGATCAGGTTAGATTCTCCTGCAACTCTTTGGCATCTCTCTAGCAATGTTAGTGTTTGCAGTCAGGCCAGGCTCATTCAGCAACTGAATTCACAACATCTTTCTGCACTAGCAAGCTGAAATGGTACGGCTGTACTACAGCTAAGAAAGGGGGAAATCCAAAGCAGAAAACAAAGAAATCCCTCAAGACAGGGTAATCTCAGTGGAGTAAAATATAAAAGGTACAGATGAGCACCAAGGGTACAATATTTCTCTGTCTAAATTTCACCAGCAAATGCTCTTTCTAAAAAGATTTTTTTTTTTAAATATATGATGGACTTGCCTGTGGAGTTCCCAGAAAGGCAGAGTATCCAGGCTCTGCAGCAGCATTGCAGCCAACGTAACCATGCATATGCTATCTAGGCAATTTCCAGCAGTCTTTTTGAAAAGATATTGATTTACAATGTAGCACTGCCTCAACCCAATACAGAACTACCGCCAAAATAGCTAATGGTGATTTCATAGGAATTAAGGAAAAAAACTCAGCATTCAATCAAATGGATGGCAACTAATCATCCCAATTCAATTACGTCCCAGAACTGAAGGAAACCAGCAAGTTTGAGCAGTAAACGTTATTAAAGCCATAATTTAAAAGCATCTGGAAATAAGCACTACGAATGCCACTGTCCACTTTTACAGCAACAGTAAATACGAAAAAGCATTTTAAAATGCATTAAGCCAAAAAATGAACTCTTAAGTTAATTCTAGCATTGCAAGCATGAAATGTAGTATTTAACTTATGAACACACAAAATATTCACAGCTGTGAGTAAGCGACAGACACCTACTCCATGCTGGGTAGCCACTGCTGAGCCCAAGCGAGCTTGGGTGCAGTACTAGGGAAAGGAGGGCAGCAGGAGCAAACCCTCAAGGAGGGCTTCTTCAAGAGGGTAGCAGCAAATCTTCTGCATCTCCTACTCCTGCAGCAGCCCCTACTGGCCTGTGCTTCAGGTGGCTCCTGGCTCCCCAGAAACTTCCTGGGGTTGGGGGAGCGCTGGACAGACTACATCTGCTAGGACAGAGAACAGTGATGTGCCCAAGTGAAAACTTCATGAGAGAAAGAACGCAGCTCAACTGAACATCTTGAACACACAGAAGTATTTTTCTTTTTTACATAACGAGGAGGTGCAATGGAACTAGCAGGTGAAACACAGCCCTGGCTCACACCTTGGGCAGCTCCAGTCACCCACGTCACAAGACCATCAGAAACAAGCTCCTCCATGGAGTCCCACTCTGAAGAATGCACGGTGTGCCTGAACTTCACCCATTTGTTTGAGTCCCACCACTGTCACCAAGACTTAAACACATGCTTAAATACTTCTCGATTCAAGGCTCACAGCTGAATCCAGCATAAATGGCTTCAGTGACAATTAAACTTGAGCGGCATGAGCAAATTCCATAAGATGGGACCAAAATTAAGTAGCACTTGTTATTTTTTCCCCTCACCTACTTCCTGACCTTAGTCACAGGGGCATATTCCAGAAGACTACTCAGTTTCTTAGCTTGGTTTTTTAGCAGGTAGAAAGGTGTCATTTCCTCTGAAAAAAGACAACTTCCATTCTTTAGGTAAAAATTTTATTCTCAGATGTCTCACGCATGGGGATCCAAAGAAAACATGAAAAAAAAGCTTCCACATGAAATGATGAGAAAATGCATTCAAAACATTCACATTTCTTGTCCTTATTCTGTGAACATCAAATTGGTCTGAGGGTGAGGGTGAACAAGACAGAAGGATCATCAGATAAAAAGTAGCTTAATGAGTAAGCACCTGCAGAGACCAGTATGTGCCAAAAGACAGGCACCACATTAAGGAAAAAGTGGTGGACAGCCACAGGGAAAGGGAACACAGAAGGCAGAGAAACAGGGAATTGCATTCCAGAAGCAAGCAGTGTGTTGGGCCAGGGCACGGAGTCAGAAAGCAAGCCAAAAGTCCACAAAGTAATGGGATCTAACTCAAAGAAGCCAAACCTTCCCATATTTTGAAGTTAATTATTTTTACTGCCTTAAAAAATCTGCATTTATTGCATTACAGTCCCTCTTGTTGCCTTTGACATCCCTTTCCAGAGTCAGTTCAAGTTGCGCTTTGGCTTTTCAAACTGCACCTCTGCATGCTCAGACAGCATCTCTATTCCTCCCCAGTAACTTGTCCCCGCTTCCACCTTCTGTATACTTCCTTTTTACCTTTGAGTCTGGTTAGGAACTACTTGTTCATCCATGCAGGCTTCCCAGCATTTTTGCCTGACTCTCTACTATTCTCATCCCCCTCCTTGCCCTGTGCTAAACCCATCACTTCCCCTGCTTCCATTCCCATGTGCTGACCATGGTTGAACACAACTTGGCTGGAACACAAATACGTGCTCTGCTGCTGCCCAGGGTAGCCCAAACAGGACTGGGAAACCTGGCTGGCAGGCAAAGGCAGTCTAGAATTACAACTAGAATTGATGGACCACACAGAGCCCCTTTACCATGGGACTCGTTTGTTTTCCAAGGGGGTGGGAGAGTCACTGAACTAAAAAAAAAAAAAAAATTTCAATACAATACAAAGGAAAAAAAAAAAAAGAAAAAGAAAGGTCAAATACCTATGGGTTTAGGTTTTAAAACTCTGCTCGGAAACCGGCCAAAAGTACAAGCTTCACATTATCAGTACTCTAATTCACGACACTGCTTTCATGCCAGGGCAGACTCCAAAATGCTCTGTCGCACTTGAGAACATTTCTCACACATAAAGAGGTATCTTTGGAGCTTTTCAAGATAATAGATACATCAACATCTGCAAATTGCTATACTTAAACCAGACTGATTACACAGTGTCACAGCTCTGACAGTCAATTAACTAAACATGCAAACCATCATTTATTAATACTGCATAGTGAAAAGAATGCCAGTAGTTGCCTTGTGTTCTTTGTGGTCATACTACATACTGTTCAATTATAACTTGTCAGTAATGGCCTATTTCCATTAGTCTACGTTATAGAATCATTAAGGTTGGAAAAGACCTCTAAGATCATCCAGTCCAACCATCAACCCAACGCCATCATGCCCAACTACATTAAATCATCTAAGAGAGAGGAGGGAGAGCAGAAGCATGGGAGAAAGAAGGCCAACTCTTCCCCCTCTCCAAGAAGTAGTAACCACATGCAGTAATGTGTACATGTGTCATACGTCCATATAAGCCCACTTTCTTCTCATAGAAGACACTGCATGATTAAGAAGAGCCATTGATGAACACACACGTTTCCATTTTGAAAACTGCAGATTGAATATACCAGGAAAGAATAAACACACTTTACAGTTTCAAAAATTTACTCATCTGTGAAAGTGACTGGCACACCTAGCCAGTCACTTTATAAGCCACTGATAGTATTTCAGAAAAATTGATTTGACAAGATGCTTAACAAGTTGTACTCAGAAAGAGAGGCCTGGATGGGACCACACCTGTCCTAGTCCAGTTCAGCTCCCTGCTATCACAGGCAATCACAAGATATCACCCCTTCCCTAAACTGGTAAGTTAATGCATAGAGTACGCAAGAGATGACCTTAATACAACAACCCAGCAGTGACAAAAATGTGCTGAATGCAAAGAAAATAATTTTTATCTTAAGATGGCAAGGGAAGCAGTGGATACTATTGCACAGTGGAATGCATGGCAAGTTATTCCAAGTACAACATGCTGTTAAACTTGCTTCACAAAACCAGTATTTGAACTATACCGTCTGCATTATCTGATATGGTAGGACTTCACTTAAAAAGTCACTGTCTGAAATAAAATGCAACGTAACACAGTGCCAATTACTTCTGCAACTTTTAAGACCAAAGAAGAGATTTTATGGTTTTACAGATTGATTCCAAATACTCTTAGCATTATAAAGAATTTTTAAAGTGCAAGTTCAAAGGGAACAACGACAACATGGAGAACATTGTGTAATGTTTTGATACATCTAAAAAATACTTCAAATCAGTTTAGATACTTCTTCAACTCAGTGAAAGTGCTCTTTGCATATAATAGATTAATCAAATTACTTTGGATAATTATACTCTTTCTGTGCAATAAGAACACCTAACTACAACATTCCTAGCAAAGCCTCATCTTCCTGCGAACACTAATACAGTTACACTGACACTGTTTTATTCTTTTCTCTTGCTATGCTGGCAAAGACCCCATATAAATAAATAATCCAGACTAAAACACATTGGTGCAATGAATCTATGATAAGAATTTGGATTTGGTCTTAAACTATTTTCCAAGACTTGCTTTTTCTTTTTTTTTTTAAACTCTTCGTTAAAGCTAGTATATAAGGACGATTCTAAAGAATTCTGTTAGCCCTAATTACTAGCCAAAAGTACTTAAAGAGAAGAAATGCAAAGGCCCGAGGCAGTCAGATCTGCAGTGTGATCAGCAGCTGATATACACAGATGTCAGATGCAGAGCTTAGTCAAAGTAGGGAATTTCATAATTATTCTACTTTTAAGATGAGAGCAGATCTGTAGGCTTTTCCACTGGGGGTGGGCATCTAGTATAGATGCAAAACAGGACTCCAATATACCTTACCTTGCAATAATAGAGCATGCCTTGCTATATAAAAATAAATAAATAGTCTTCTCCCAGCCACATCTCTCTCTTGCAAAAATAAACCCAACTATGACACACAGACAGAATTCTATCTCAGCTAGTACTGTGTTCATGCCTTTATAATATATTAAAATTACACTATTAAAAAATGCCTATCTGGAAAGAGTATGAAGCCTATATCAAGTGTCAGGTAAAATAATCTGCATCTTCTTTGCCTAAACTCCTCATCTCCAACTGAAGGACAGTAAGTGATAGCAGAGTCATTAATCTTCAGCGTCATACAGTTACGCGTACTGTCAACAGTAGCAACATTTCACTACAGAAATCGAGGTATCTTCGAAATACACAAATAAAATTCTAGACAAAAAATGCACCATAGTTCCTAAGACTTATGATGTACCTGCATTTACACATAACCTCACATTCAGGTACTAAGTCTTAACGTTACTAATATATTGTGTACAAAGCAGCACAACCTAGACTACTTAGGGGGAAAAAAAAAAAAAAAAGACATTTAAATCAACATCTCAGTCAACCATTTTTCAAAAACACCACAACGAACTCAAGCAGTATAAAATTCAAATGTATGCACTCTGTCTGGAAGATGATAACAATCAGTAAATTGGCTTACTGGAGTGGTTTTAATTACACTAACTCATCTACTATGACATCTAATTCCTAAAACCACATAGCTGACAATTCTCATATTTGCAATACAAAAAAAAAAAATCTAGCTAATCAGGAAAGGGTAGTCATATTTCTATGACACCAATTTTAATGATG